CTGGGGATCTCGAAAGGATCTATGCTGCAAATCTCGATTCGAAAGGAAGTTGAGATCGAGAGACGAAGAAGGGAGGGAAATTTGGAAGAAACGAAAATTCGAACAACGATTTCTAATAAACTCGAGTTCCACGGTTATTGATTCGCCACTTAATTACGTATATACAGGTATTTGGACGGTCGTGTTCGAGACAAGCTTGGCTAACGTCGTAGTGATTCGAACATAGCTCGCACACCTGAGACCACATTCTCGACAAAGTCGAATCGAAAATTGTTCAAATTGTCGATCTAATTTTGAAAAGATACTTACTTAGAGATATGTTTCGTTGTTGTGTATTGTTAGATAGGCGTACAATAGAGATTCACGAATTAAGAAGGAAACAAAAGTGGCGTGGATAGTGACGATTACTTTATTTTGGATCGAACTTCGTTCGTTCGAGTAGAAGAAATGAAGAAAATTGACAGTTTCTTTCGATGTCCATAAGGACATGTCCCGCATCTTTTCAGTACCATGTATTCTTGTGCTAATTTCACTTTCACCGAGATAATTTTAATTATTGTGTTCCTCCTCAATAGTTGAAACTATCGCGTTTTCGTTCACTCGAACGGGTACAGGCAAGTATTTATTGCATCCAAATATTGTTGTGATTTAAGTATGTTGTGCAACAGTGAAAATTAATCGACATACAAATGAATTATTCGATACGTGATTAAATAATAGTATTATATTTATAATTTAAATATCTATATACATATAACATTTTACAAAATGTTTCTTTCATCAGAAGATGTATCGTTTAATTTTTAATTGCATTTAAAAGTAGGCCACATAAATAAAAATAAATTTAGATGTAATTATTAATTTATTATAATTTTTAAATTATAGAGAAGGATAACGGAACAGGTATTTCTACATTACTTTTGGAGTCTTATTGCAATTTCTTTTATCACCACTCTCCTTCATCCATGATCTCCATCCATCTCCCTTATTTTTCATCAACGATCCTTGCCCCCTCGAGAACTCTGCGCTCTCTTTATCGCCTTCAGAATCGTCTCGAACGAGTCTCCCCCTCCACCTTACAGAACAAAAAATTACTCCTCTAAACGCGAAACTTTTTCCCAAGTTCCATCCAGCCTAGGCAGAGGATACCCTGAGAGATCCTCGGGGCGATCCTCCGTGTTATCCCTCTTTTTATCCCATCGATCCTCTACGCGCTACATCCACGGAAGTAAGTGGTTCAGAAGCAAACACGCACCGCAGAATCTGGGTAGCGGTCCACCCACCGACAAACAATTTCGGTGAAAGTGACCATTATCGAACCGCCACCACTCGCCACAGGATGCTCGAGGTTCACTGTGGTGGTCGAGGTAAGTCGAGGTGACTCGGGGATTTTTGTAAAATTATTGTTAAAAAAAAAAAAAAAAAGAAAAAGAAAAGAAATCAATCTTGCACGTGTAGATACTTAACCTGGATAAACAGAGTAGACGGACAGTGGCAGAGCTTTGTACTTCAATGATTTACTCGATGATTCGGGAATACTTGCGGTGATAAACGAACTCTTATCGATTTCCGATTTTTAATTTAATATCTGTGAATGAAACGATAAACGACGTAACATTGTGTGTAGAGAAGATGTGTACAGAAGATTTCGAAGGGGATAAGACAGAAAAATATAGGATAAGATTGAAAATATAATCGATAAGGCTTCCAAGTTATAAGAATTCTCTAGAGTGCCGCGCGAATGTTGTTAACGATACGATATTTTTCGAAATTTTATACAAAATATATTAATTCTTTCGCTTCTCGACCGCGACACTCATCGCTCAATGCACCAAAAACGTGCACAATGCTCGAGAAAGATCGTAAGCGGTAAACGCTGCAATCCGAATTGCTTCAATAGTGTTTATTAAGAAAAAATTGATGATAAAAATATCGATGCATTTCCAGAGAAATATACTCGATGCGCAATAACTCCAATCGTTCGTCGTATCGTACGATACGCGACATTTTATGCAGAGCGACTATAGTCGCCCGAAGTACGTCAGTGGCATCTTATGCAGAGTGACTATTGTCACCTGTAGTATCTCAATGACATCATCTCATGCAGATTATTGTCGCCTGTAATACGTCAGTGGCATCTTATGCAGAGTGACTATTGTCACCTGTAGTATCTCGATGACATTTTATGCAGACCGACTATTGTCGCCTGTAATACGTCAGTGGCATCTTATGCAGAGCGACTATAGTCGCCTGTAATATCTTATTAGCATTTTATGCTAATATCTTGGTGACATCATCTTGTGCAGAGCGACTATAGTCGCTTGTAATACGTCAATCATGCAGAACGATTATAATAGTCCGTAAAATCTCGATGACACCTTATGCAGAGCGACTATAGTTGCCTGTAATATTTTGGTGACATCATCTTATGCACAGTGACTGTAATACGTCAGTGACATATTATCGCCTGTAATATCTTATTAGCATTTTATGCTAATATCTTAGTGACATCATCTTGTGCAGAGCGACTATAGTCGCTTGTAATACGTCAATCATGCAGAATGATTATAATAGTCCGTAAAATCTCGATGACACCTTATGCAGAGCGACTATAGTTGCCTGTAATATTTTGGTGACATCATCTTATGCACAGTGACTGTAATACGTCAGTGACATATTATGCAGAACGACTATAGTCGCCCATAATATGTCAATGGCATCTTATGCAGACCGACTATAATCGCCCATAGTATCTCGGTGACATCATTTTATGCAGAACGACTATAGTCGCCCATAATATGTCAATGGCATCTTATGCAACCGACTATAATCATCCGTAGTATTTCGGTGACATCATCTTATGCAGAGCGACTATAGTTGCCTGTAATATTTTGGTGACATCATCTTATGCACAGTCACTGTAATACGTCAGTGACATATTATGGCAGAACGACTATAGTCGCCCATAATATGTCAATGGCATCTTATGCAGACCGACTATAGTCGCCCATAATATGTCAATGGCATCTTATGCAGACCGACTATAATCATCCGTAGTATTTCGGTGACATCATCTTATGCAGAGCGACTATAGTTGCCTGTAATATTTTGGACATCATCTTATGCACAGTGACTGTAATACGTCAGTGACATATTATGCAGAACGACTATAGTCACTCATAATATGTCAATGGCATCTTATGCAACCGACTATAATCATCCGTAGTATCTCGGTGACATCATCTTATGCAGAGCGATTATAATCGCCTGTAATACATCAGTGACATATCATGCAGAACGACTATAATCGCTCGTAGTAGCAAAAAGATTAATTATCGGTATAATTATTATTTATATTATATATTATATATATATATATATAACAAAAAATATTTCAATATTTCGAATAACGTATCAATCTTTTTAGCGATCCTTTAATGGTTGCAATTTATTCAAATTCATCCGGTATATTGAACAGCTGCATGCACGCAATAGCGCGTCGCCTGACGCGTGCAATTAAACGTTTAAGCGTTTAATTTGTCGGGCGACGTAACGATTGCACATCGTGGAGAACTTGACAAGTCTTGACTTCAAAAGCCATTTGGAATACGCGCGCGCCATTTTACGCTTCGCTTATCCTCGCCTTGAGGACCTTAAGGATCTCGATTCGAGATTCAAATCTCTAAAATTTACTATGCGAATATATTAAAGATTATAAACCTTTTTATTACACCGTGAAAAATGTATGTTTATCGCGTAAACGTATTTTTCGTTTAAATAACACGAGTATCGGTAGAAGAGAATCGATAAGAAAACAAGCGTAATCCCGCAAGTTTTTCAAAGATAAGAAGAGGAAACGTTGATTCTGGGAATCGACGTGAAAGAATTTTCATCGAGAGGAGTTCGTATATTTCTTTTGTTCCGGTGCTCGATCATGCTCGATCCCCGGACAGACAACGGCATACGGGAAACGGAAGTAATCTAAGGGCTGGCCCTCCATTAAAATCTGAAACGATCTTTTGCTTCGTCCAGGGGGAAACGTTTCCAATATCCGTGATAGGAAATGATTTCCTAGACGCGAAATTAAGTTGCAAGAAGGAGAGAGAAAAATTTCGTTGAAATTGTTATTTCAGATTCTACTTTCGTCGCGATAAAAATTCACAAATTCGATTTTCGAGATTAACAGCCGTTTCATGCATATTTTGCGTGTGTATAAATACAGACAAACGCTCCGACGGTGTCTATATAAAGATTTTAAGAGGTATTTTAATCAAACTCGACGAAATGTTCGAAATGTGTTTAACCATATAGAACGCGCTCTACATTTTTTTTAATTCAATTATTGTGATCGTATTATTACTCTTAATACCATTTTTTTGTAAACTCGTTCACTCGGTTCAAACGTTTTTTAAAAAAAAAAATAATTCCCTCTTTCACCACGCGCTCAACTCCATCGACTCTGCGAGAAAAATGGAAATATTCTTCCTACGTGCATTAGGTGTGCAAACAAGTTCCTTCCTCCTTTTTTCTACGAATTATTTCACCGATCGTGGCGCCATCTGGAAGAGCGTTGTTTCGAGAGTTTCCAATCCTATTCCAACTTGGGAAATCGGTTGTCCAAGCTATCGAAATGATTTGTTTTTATCTCACGGAACGTGCCCTTTCGTATTAATTTTTAAGAAAATTACTATCTAAATAACTAGAACATAATTATATCATTAAACGTAGGATGGCGACTATATAGCAAGCGACGATCTTTCTTCGGACGGTGAATTAGGAGGAATCGCCGGACGAGAATCCGACCCAGAACAATCTCGTGCCTGATTCACGTAATAAAATCTTGAATTTGGAAAAAAAGGGGAAGAGAGAAGGAACTTACTTGCACACTTAATATACGCACCTAATAGAAAATATTTCTACTGTATCGTCCCCTCGAGGAGAGGGGAAAAAAGGAAGAAAGATCGAAATGAATCGACCCCCGAGAAAAAGAAAGCACTCACCGCGGCTGAACTGATCGTTATTCGCGATCACCCGCTCAGCGTTCTTCCTCGCGATGTAAAACCACTCGCTGCTGTTGCTCAGATACTTGTACTCGATCGCGAGATCCTTGACGAGTATGCCGTCCTGGTCCTGGAGGCGGTGGGCGAACGGGCAGTAGAGCCAGCGATCCTTGTACTGCAACTTGTCGTAGCAATTCCCGGCTGCGAATATATCCTCGTCGAACTCGACCATGGACAGTATGCTCGCGTGAAGCAGATACTCGGACGAGAGCATCACCTCGGGCGCGTACTTCCACAATCTCGTGAGCATGTTGGCCCTGTTCACAGCCAGATTCGCCTCCAATCGGAACTTTTCCTGGGCGTACCTGTCCACGATCCCCTCGCCCAGGTTCAAGTCGGTCCCAGCCGTGCAATTCTCGCCGAGCAGATGCTGATTCTCTATTATTCGGAGGAACCTGGTCACGATGTCCACGTGGACCGGCTCCTTGCCCGGCCTCCTCCCGCCCGACGACCCTCCATCGTATCCCTCCCTCTCCCCGTAATCCTCGTACTCCCCGCTCTCAGACCCGTTCCTGTACCCGCCCTTGTCCTCGCGCTCGTCCTCGTAGACCTCGTACTCGTCGAAAATCGTGCTCGTCCTCGACACGTCGCCGTGTCGCGAGCCGTGCACCACGTGGCCGTACACCTCCGTCGAATTCCGCCTCCCCCGTCCAGGAATCGCAACGTCGTCCGATTCCCTTGATGATACACCCGCCACCTGTTCCTCGCCATCGCCTTCCTCAGTTTCTCCAGTGACTCGCCCCCCTTCCTCCTCCCCCCTGCCTCCTTCCTCCGATCGGCCTCGGACAGTTTGGCGAGCAGTTTGTCGAGATCGACCGAGGTGGACCGTTCGTCGATCGTTGCCTGGCCAGGGATCACTCCCTCGACCTCGTCCGATCGTAAGTGACGGGGATCCTCGGTCAGGGACGAGTTCTCGGCCCTCGAGTCGTCCGGCCTTGGCTGGATCCTCGCGACCAGGCGGCCCCTCGACCGGCCGTGCCTGATCTGGGTGGCCGGCCTCTCGATGCTCGTCTCAGGAGGAGGAAGGGAGGAGAAGGAGGAGGAGGAGGAGGAGGAGGAGGAGGCCAGCTCGGGGGATTGCCGAGGATCGTCGAGCAACGATCTGTCCGCGATGATCAGCCTGCGCTCGATGAACGAGGGCCGCTGATGATTCTGCTGGCGGTGGCGTAGGGGGTCTTTGGCCGGCCTCTCGATTTGCGCCTCCTGGTCCCCGCCGGAGGCGGGCCAGAGCGTGCACCACGTGAGCAGAACGAGGACGTAGCAGAGGCGCGGGGCGCTCATCTTCTCGGAACGCCGTTCGTCGGGGCCATGAATGCGCTAGCCGGTTGGATGGATGGTTGGTTGGTTTGGTTGGGTGCGCACGGTCACGTTCTCGGCGTAAGGGCGTAGGGAGCAGCCGGCCTCGAGTGTTCGAAATTCGAAAACGCGGTCATTCTCGCGCCACTACGACGACACATCGACCGACGATTCCCCCATCCTTGTGCACGGTTCACGAGTCACGAGTCGCGCGCCATCGAAAATTTCGCGAGGCTCTCCTCGATAAAAGTGTTTCTCTCATGTTTCTCGGGTTGGAAACGGGTGGGTTCGCGATTCAGGTGGGATCGTCGATCGTCTCGCGGAGGATCATCGTTTCTTCTTCTTTTTGGATCGCGGAGCAAAGAGGGGGGAGGGCTTGGGTTGTATTTGGAGCGCGTTCGAGCGAAGGAAGGGATCCGATCGCGCTCGCACGCGGCGCCAGACTGAGGGTTGAAACTCGACGCCAACCCCGTCGTCGTTGTGACGAGCCGACGCATGCGCAGTTTCGTATCGCGCGATCCAACGTTTTTCCTTCTCCTCGAACGAGCGATCGATGCTCTTTCGACGTATTATTCGATCCTTCGGATGGAAACGATCGGTGGATTAACCGGTTGTTGCTTGAGACGATTGTCTCGTTGATTTAAACAAGCGGTTTGCGCAAGAAGGTTTGTTGCAGAAAAATAAAAATGTAACTTATTTTATGCAAAATGAAAATAATCGAAAATAAAACAACGTTCTACGTACGTTATTTCGATAAATAATAATAGAAAAAGTTATTTTATTCACTTGAACTCTAATTGCTGAGCTTTGATTCTATTAATTGATAGTAAAAAAAATTTTTGTTTCTCCTTCTTTATATATATGTAAATGCACGTATGTGAGAATTCTTATTCCTATAAGATAAGTATATGGGGAATTGAATTCCCGTTTATTATTTTTTACACGGAAATAATTTAGAAAATTTAAAATTTATGCAATTTTGCACAATTTATATTTCGATAAATAATAATAATAATAATAATAATAATAATAAAATTATTTATTATACTTTATATTAAAGTATATAGTACAGCTACGTGTACTGTAGCTGTATTATTTTACATTTATATTGTTTTATCGAGAAGGAAAATTCCTTCTTCCATATTGAACGTTATATTATTTTAATAAAATGGTAATAAAATGGGGGAGGGGGAAATAAAAAGGAAAAGAAAAAAAAGACCAACGAGGAGAAATTATTTTTATTATCTGAAAAATGATGAAATGTACATTTAAACGGAAACGAATTAAAGAAAAATATTCCGTTTGTTATGGAATATCGATGACAATTTATTAAAATGCAAAATGTAGACATTTGCAAGTAACGCTTCGATAGCTAATACAGTGGAAAATGCGTGTTTCGGCGCAAAGTTTCCCCCAACCGGGGAAAAATGTTATGGCGCATCATGGAAACAAATGCTCGCCTTTGAATATAAAATGAACACGCAGCTATTTTTCTTTCGCGCTCATTGAATAAATCACCATTTCACCGTGCATTCCGTCCGCTAGAATTTATTGATGCATTTAAAATGTAACCAAATTTGAATTTCTAATCGACTGTACGTGAAAACTTTAAGAGAGAGAGAGAGAGAGAGAGAGAGAGAGAGAGAGAGAGAGAGAGAGAGAGANANANANATATATATATATAT